GCAAAGTGAATTTTGGCTTGTTAGAAATACTTTTGGCATCTGACGAAAGAGAGATGACCACCACACTGAATGCAGCCCCTCCTGCCTGTGCTTGATTTGATTCTCTGACTGTCAGACAGCCCAGCTGTTCTGCTGTTGGAGCTCATGAGGAGAGAAGGTGAAGGAGGCCTATGCAAGAGACAGAGTAAGATGGAACAGAGGCACAGAGTAACAGTGTGCATTAGCCGACAAGGTCATGTATATGGAAGCATTAGAATATTATGGTAATTATGGTTTTGTTATTGTGTCTGTGGAAGGCAATCATAATAACATAATACTGTGATACTTCATTTACGGCCTTGATCCACACATCACTGACCTTTTCCTCTGGTATGCAGGTGTGTTTTTTAAAGCTCATTAAAAAAGCAGCTCTTCATAACGTGTACCAAAGATGCAACATGTGCGGTGCCTAAACTCATTCCATTAGTCATGCCTTGTAAAACTCTTCACAGTCTAATAAATTTAACAGTTAAACCTTGAATATAATTACAATTTGAAATTACAAAAATATACTTTAAATTAAAACCTCTTCAGATTTAGTTTAATAATGTGATTACTTCTCAGGCCTAAGTATTATTTCAGAGACAGGTATAGAATAAGAAGAAACATTCTCCTCTGCATGCCTTGTTTTTGATCATCTGACAAATAAAATGAATTGTCTACGGTAGTGTATCTCTACTTGGACATGTGAAAGCTTTGCCATAATTTTTATTTCTATTTATGTGTTTGCTGGCATGCTTGGTAGAGAAGCTTCACTGCTTAGTGAGTGAGGGCCTTTGGACCTATCAGACAAAAAAAGAGAACGTGGGGATTATGTGGTGGAGAGACATCAACCATCACAAATCTTTGCCTGCTTATTTTAAACTTTTTAAAAAAGAAAAAAAAAACCCAAACCATACCCACAAAAAAACCCAAACAAACAAACAAACAAAAAAACGGAAAAAAAAAAACCAAACCAACAAACCAAACCCGAAACAACACACACACACAAAACCTCACAAACCCCACAAAAAGGAAACCCCAGGTAAATCAAAGTACTGTGTAAAGGACATGGAGTTTAGACATTTTACAATTTTAAACTGGCAAGTACTCATAGCACCTGTTATCTGTAAAGTGTTGTCTCCCACATTTTGACAGCTCTCTATTAAAATCTAAACTGAAATTTTGCTGAGAGTCCAAAATCTTCTTTTACAATTGTGCATACTTTTCCTGAACTGTATGGTTGGTTGTGACTACCTCATGAAGACCAAACCCGTAAAAGTAACTAAATCTAGTTTGGTGTTTAAATGCCTTAACAGGCTACCTCCTTGTTTAAATATTACTGAAGGAAGAACCATGAAGGGAGGTGGTCTTAATGTGTAAAAACAAACAAACAAACTAAGCCACCAACAAACACACACACACACACACGCAAACAAACAAAACCCTCTGATATCCCAGGCTACTTTAAAACATGCTAAGTGGTACAGGTGGTTGATGTATGACTTGCAAGATCCTTGCTAGCAACCAGTGTTTTCTTGTCAGAAAAATGGCAAGATTTTTTATGACACCACCCAGGATATGTCTGAGTGTAAAGTTCTTTGAGGGTGTAGGCAATACTGTTTGAAACAGAATTTCTGTGTGTTAACTGAGGCTTCTGATTAGGAATACTACACTGAAGTGCCCACTGTTACAAAAATAATTGGCTAATCAGGAGTTGTTAGCAGCTCAAGGAGAAAGCAGAACTATTTTGGGAAAGCCAGTCTGTGAACCTGCAATAGTTTGCTTCTCTAAAAATTGTGGATAATTTTATATTTACCTCATAGAGAATTTAAGGATTTAAAAAAAAACCCAACCAAAAAAACTAAAACAACAACAACAAAAAACACACACACACACACAAAAGAAAACAAAACCAGGAAAAGAACCCAACCCAACAATAAAAAAACAAACAAAACCCTACCAAAAAAAAAACAACCCTGCAACCAAACAGCCACAATTTCATTTGCTCGTGTTTGTAAAGGGTTTTTTAATACACAGGGAAGTAATTTGTTTTTACCTTTACTTTGGGCAGGTTAGAATTTACAGTCTTAAACTTCTTGATGTTTAAGTGTCAAAGCACCTAGGTTTGAAACATGAAACGTTAAAAACACAGCATACTTTCTTCAGGTTTAAAATTTCATACGTCTTTGAGTGTATCTGTGTAGTGCCAGGAAGAGAGAACTGAGCTTGCCATGCAGAGGTGCCAGAAGCAGTGTAACAGTACAAGCCCAGCTTTCTATCATCTGGGGTAATTAGCCCTGCAGGAGTAAGCTCTAAAGATGTGAGCTAGTTCAGGGATTGCTCTGAACCTCAGCTCAGCATTGTATTTGTTGGCATGCCCTTTTGTGCCTTAGTTTCCAATCTTAAAATCTTCTTGGCTCAAAGGAGATTAAAAGTTAATTCACTGGTGTTTCATAATGCATATACATACAGGGCTGGAATTAAGGTTCATGGGCAGCATTAGATGACATTTTTAAACTTCTGAGTGTTTTTACCTAACAATCTTATTAAGTCACTTAATGAATTTTTTGAAATGTAGCACGTCTTCAGTTCATCAAACTAAACATTTTGAAGGAGAGCTTTAACCCGTTAAATAAAAGAGGATTATGTATGTAACTAACTACAAGTGGGATCTTTCAAGGATAATTGAATTTCTGTCAAATGTTGTCTGTTACATCCTGGTTTAAGAATTACAGCGTTTTGTGCTTCCTTGGGGGTAGAACTATTCTGTAGTGTAAGTGGGTTTGGGGTGTCTCATTTTAAGACACAAATCAGCTTATTTCAGAGAATGGCCTCTTCTTTTTTTGTTACATTGTGTAAAAGCTACTCATCTTCATCTAAATAGAAGCCACTCAGCCACCAATTAGTTTTAACTGTTTAAACCTATTTAATAAATGCATCTTGCACATCAGTCTAGCATTTGTCTGTAAGGAATCTTATGCGGAATTTTTGTTACCTATATTACTTTAGTTTATAAAAATACAAAGCAACTTACAGCTTACGTCAGCCTTTCTGTTTGGTTAACAAAATAATTATCACTGGTCTGATATTTCAGACTACTATTCCTCAGCACTGTAATGCATTCCATTTCTAATTTCAACTTTGTAGCTGAAGCTTTCACTGAAATCATCGAAGATGGAACATACGCCATTGCTTGAATATACTTGCAAGCTTTCAGAGGTTAAACACTTATGGTCTATGCATAATCAATGTGTATGGTAGTGCAATTAATGTTAAATTTAATGAAATGCATGAATATTTAAAACTTAATGAATCTGGCTTTGCAGCATGCTTTACAGCCTGATTCCCATATGTGAACAGTATTGACTGTTGGCCTCTGGATGTCAGCAGTGTATCGCAAAATTCCTGTAATCAGCTGCTGTTTTCCTGCTTCCTCTCAGAAAAATATCTGTGACTTGTGGTCTCTGCACACCTCCAGAACACCCAGCGCTTTTTCCTCTTATAAATTATTCACTTACTCTGTACCAATTAGTTCTACCAGTTGCTAGGTTTGTTATCAAGTTAAGCTTCAAGACAAGAACCTGAACTCAATGAGTGATTAAAAATTTATTAGCAGAGATGATTAAATATGCAGATAGTCTGTGAAGCTTGTTCTTGAAACCATTATATTACCTTTTTAATACTAATGATTTGTATAATTAATTTTAAAAAAGCCTGAAAGTCTTTTAAAAAAAATCAGAGTAGGACATAAAAGGGAAGAGATTAAATGCAGAGGAGGCAGTGAACCTGGGTATTAAAACAGCTCATTCACATGTATGGGCAATAAAGTGATTTCTTTACAGGAACAGTCTGTGGGTTTTTTCCCCCTCTGCTAAGTTGATTATTTTATTAATCTTCGAAGCAATTTGGGAAAACTATCAACTAGTGAGTCATATTTTCAAAACAGAACTTTATGCGATTAACGCTGGTACGACGGACAATTCCCCTAAACCATACGGTAAGAAACTAAACTATACGAAGATGCGGTTTCAACAAACATTTAAGCATATGCTGGATTTTCGGTGTGAGAGTAACCCTTGGGTTTCCGTAGGAGACGCTCAGGTACGTTAATGCCACCAGGGAACAGCCGGGCAGTGCGGTAAATGCCAGGCAAAGGTCCCTAAGAGGGGCTGTTCCCGATGCTGTCCCTGCATGTGAGGTGGGTGGTGAGAAGGGCCCGAGGTAGCAATTAGGCAGGTTTGGGGGTGGGGGCAAGTGGGATTCTCCGGAGCCGAGGGTGAGCGGGAGCCTCCTGGTGCTGTTGAACCTGGAGGGTTGGCTTTGGAAGAGATGGGCTGTCCTCCCTCCCCTGGGGGAAAGAAAGTAAGTGACTTTATTACCCAATAAGGGAGTAGCTAGAACAGAGAGGCAGCCCGGGGGCCTGGCTTTGCTTTCCACCTCCCTGAGAGAAGCAAATCCTCATGGCAGCGTAGGAGCAGCCTGGAGAGCAAAGGCAGCCACCACTAGCCAGTGCTGTGGCATGACACAGCTTTTGGCATCTGCTTGTGTGTGGCCACAATGCGATGTGTTAGATGTTTTGTAATGCCTCTGAGACCTGGCTACGTACTGGAAGCTGGAACAGGCCAGGGCTGTGGTTGAGGCTGTGTGCTGCCACCCCTCTGTGCTGGCACACAGCGGGGCAGGGAGGGTAGATGGTAGGCAGCATCCCTCCACGGCTGCACTCTGCAGCAGGGAGAGCTGACGCTCTGCCTGGTGCAGCACCACTGATGACCATGGCTGATGACCCCAGCACGCCATGGGAGTGAGTTGCTGTGGATGAGGCTTGAAGGAAGATGGGGGCCTATGTAAAATAGGGTGTGAATAGCCCAGAGGTGCTACTGTGCCCTTTGCCTCCTGGAAAGGGAGGAGTCACACCTCAGGTGTGACTGATGAGCCCCATTAGCCTGAGATTGTTAAGAGTTAATGAGTTGCCCTGTGTGGTCTGTGTTTAGCTTGTAGGTCTGTGTTTAGAGAAGACATGTTATGCAGCAATTTAGAGTCAGCAGGAATAGTGAGTGAAATTGTGGTTTTTTTTAAGACTTGGGTTTAGCGTGGGGAGGGATAAAGCATGATGGGAGGTTGTCATGTACCTGTTGTCCTCTTTTTTTGTATTGTATTTATAAGTTAGAATGCCTTTGTTTTCAAATCTGCAACTCTGTGTGGTATTCTTAGGCTTTAGTAATGTCAAGTGTAGTGTGTACATTTAGCTCTGACCATAATAGGCAGCAGAACGCAAGTGCGACCTTGTCTAGAGTGAGACCCAAGGAAGGTGTTTCTATTGCTATCACCAGAGAACTTGCATGGCTAGGATCTTGCTGTGGAGGATAAGTCTAAGTAAAAATGGCTTTTCTTTATCCAAAATAGCAGGTGTGCCTCTTGGATGATGTGAAATTAGGCTGTGACCTAGGAACTTCCTTATCAGAGCACAGTCCTAGAAACATTTCTTTAGTTCTCTGGGAGGTGCATTGACTCAGATGTACAACCTTCCTTTCTTGCTTTCTTCTTGCTCTGAACTAAGTCGAAACACTGCTTTTTCACAAATCTATTTCAGCTTCCCCTTCTATTATGCCAGCTACCTACTGGGGGAAAGAGAAGGAGCAGAGGAAAGAGCATCAACTAGGGTAAGCAAGTTGTTAGAAGAAATTGAGAGGATATTGAATGTGTCGCTTCTCGCTTCCCTCATTGTGGCTGAAGCTGAACAAAAGAATGAGTCCTTAGTCTTGCATTCCTGAGTATGGGGTAGGCTGATGTTTTCCCAAGTGGGATCATAAGTTTAGATAGTTTTTAATGTCAATGAAAACTTTCTAACATGAAGAAATATCCTTAAACTGAAGGAAAGGAAAAGGTAACTTCAAATCTTTTTACAATGGAATAAGATTCAGGTGGGAGGCAAAAAAATATATACTTGAGGTTTTCATAGGCTGGGTTTTTTGTGTGTCTATTTGTAGTTTGCTTTGGTATTTTTTTAACCAAGCAAACCTTTTTCTGTTGAATTGTGTGGAGCTCTGCAATTACTGCCTATGCTAGATGTTTAAGTTCTGGGAAATAACTGATGGAAAAATATCTTCTGATGATGGATGTGAGGTCAGCTATTCAAACTAAAATACTTTCTCTTCAGTTACATGGTATAGGGCTGTGGTACTCAGACCATATGCATAGTTAGTTATTTTTAGGCATTTAATGAGAATGTAAAGGAGGTGATATGTGTAGGAGGGTGGAAGGACAGGGAAGGAATGTTAGAGAAGGAATGTTAAGAGATACTAGCACTTAGAACAACAATAGGTATCCTAGTTGAGTGATTTCTTTTTCCTAACCTGTTCATATCGCATTTGAAGAGCTTTTTTGCTTCTGTACTGAACAATTAAGTCCTCATTTCTGAAATTACACATATGCTTGTTTGTGTGCTGTACATAATGCTATGGATTTCAGTATGCTTAAGATAATGTAAGTGTTGGCAGGATCAGAGTCAAAGATGTCAAAAATAACTTGGAGGGCTTGTGGAAATTCACAAAATGTTATAAGGTGATACTTCACTTGGTGCTGAAGTGGAAATTGTCACTGATATTATACTTAATGGTGGACTGTGGTCGCTGGGTTCACTCTGACTGAAAAGTATCCATTTCTATTTTTAAGGTAAATGAAGAACAGGATATGAAGTTGAACTAAAAATTAAGAATGTTTTTCCTCCTTAGCACTTATACATTGATAATGCTATTTGCACTTATTAGCCTGTATTTTGTGTCTAAAAGAAACCCAACAGCAACAACAAAACCCCCAAAGCCTTTTTACAATAAAGGATTTGCAGTAGGAATCTGTATTTGAAGTCGCCTTGGCCTTGTGAAAGTGTGATATCTACAATACTGAAGAAAAAGTTACTCATACCTCAGCAATGTAGATTTAGGAACTGAAAAGCATTATAGGAATGATCTAATTGTTTCTATTGCTTTGCTAGAAATAAAACTAATACACTAATTCAAAGAGTATCAGCTGTACCGGTGTCCCTTAAAGGGCTTCCCCATGGCAAAGAAGTTCAGCTAAATTGTGTCACCCCTTTGCTTAAGATAATGGGGGTTTGTAACATATGAATTCTAGGTTGTTCTGCGAGGAAGTGAAATGCTCCTTTGTCTGCAGGAATGTGTGTTCCACTTCTGCTCCTACTTCCACTTGAAATAAGGCACTCAGCATGAATTTAGAAACAGAAGAATGAATATGCTTTTGCCATTGTTTTGATCTAAGGAGCTGCAAGAAGTACTGATACTCTTTTAGGCTTTCAACTTTTCTTTCCCTCTGTATGTAATTCTTTCTAGATTATGTTTTTTTATTCCTTGCAAAAATTCATCTCTCTGATTTTTTTTTTTTTTCAGCTATTTATCTTCCTAGAATTTATCCTTTTATAGAAATGAAGAAAAAACCCTCTGCTATATGGAAAGCATTGTTGGTTTGCAATTTTTTAAGAAGTTTTTGATGTAATCTGGAAGCAACATTGGTTCTGTATCTACAGTTGCTAAATCTAGTGCTGAAAGCTTGATACTGAGTGGATTAATGCACATGTACTGTTCAAGGATGCTTTCAAAACTGTAACAGTAGAAGAAAAATGTATTTGATGTTATGCAGGCTCCTTACAGAGAAATGTGGTGGTAGAGCAATTCTGCTAATACTAGGTTGTTGTCGTGGTTTGAGCCCACAGACCATAAAATCAAACTTGAGGTAACTGAACATCTTTAAAGTGGAGTGGTTTGCCTTTCTAGCATATCAGACTGGTTGCAAGTAGTTCAAGAGAAGAAAAATGTAATAAATGGAGAGCTCCTGAAGAAAACTGTGACAATTAAGAGGCTGGAGGAAATGAGCTCCAAGTAAAACTAGAGAACCATGGCAGTTTAACCAAGTAGGCTGTGGCAGCTTCAACTCTGAGAAACACTGAAAAATAGAAAAGTGAATGAGAAGATGAATTGGAATGGAAGAAGTTGAAGAAGAACGGTGACTTCAGGTGCTTGGGGTAGGGGCAGAGTCTGAATCTGTTGACCCATAATTCTGAGGCATTCTTGCAGGGATGTGTATGAATTTGAAAATGTTGCCAGCTCTGTCGGTCACCTGTGGAGTCTCATGGAGCAATTCTGAGCTAGCGAAACACCGGTATCTTTACTGAACCACTCTGAATTCATCATACGGCAGCCTCGTGTTGCAAGGGAAGCTTTGCTCTGAGGTCGATATGTGTCTTCTGAATCTAATCTTATGCTCTAACAGAAACAACAGCATAAACTGGAGACAGGTAGAGAGATGGTGAGGCAAAGAAGTGAGGTAAACATAATTGTGGTGTATGCTGCAATTACGAGGCTTGACCAAAGATGGGGAGACTAGTAAGAAGTCTTATTTCTATTTAGTGTAATGTAATGTGGCACCATTCACTGATGGCACGTAGTTGTAAACAAAATGTGATTGTCTTGTGACTTTTTTTTCTCGCTTAGGTTTCTTATGCTGAAGGTACAGATCTGTACTTGATAAAGGTTAGATAAAACAATGGTTACTTGAACATTTCATTGGAAGCTGCCTGACTTCAAATAGTTGAATGCACTGTAAAGTTTTTAAAGTAAACTTTACTGTGATGTTTCTGCCGAAGACTAGATTTTAAAGAAGTAGATGGAAACCACATATGTAAACATGTTAACTTTTTATTAAATCATTCCATGAGACCTCATTAAGCCAGGACTATATTCTAAAAGTGAATATACATGTTGACAGCTACACCCATAAATTTGAAAACTGCAAACATGTTCAGCATAAAAGCCATTTTTGAAAAAAAAAAAAAGCTGTTGCTCTGCCCTTGTACTAATTTAAGAATTGTTCTTTCATTCTGATTTTTATAGTTTCTTTTCACATGTAGAACTGGGACACTTTAAAAAGTACTTTAAAGAATCTTTCATGATGTTGCAAACTTCATAATGAAAATTATTTTTGAAAATGCACACATTACATAATGACTTGATGAGTCAAATAAGCTCACTAATGTCATTTTTGTCCTTTTAAAAGAAACAAAGTTACCTGTCCTCTGTACAGTATTCTCGCAAAGAGCCTCTGTTTCCTAGGAGTAGGGATGCGAGCTTAGATCTCTTGGCTCCAGCACTAGTCTTGGTGCAAAGCTTCTCCTCACAGTGTACCCGGACATCTAACAAAGTCTTTGCAGCGAACACGAGATCTCGGGCAATCTCTTGGTACCTTTCTGTCAGAGTATGTTCAAGGTACATTCATTATTAGGTTGGTTTTAGTAAAACAGGGACTTAGTATTAACCCAGTTTGGAGAAGTGTAATTGGTACAAAGACACTTAAGTAGTCTGCCTGTGGATGCAGGCTCTGAGGAGCAAGTAACAACCAGTCATGACCTCAGGCTTGTTTTCTCATCAGTGTGGGAGGGAGGAGGAGGATTGAAGCACTTGGTCTGCGCTGTGTGGGTGGGGATAAGATTGTATGCAGAAGTTAGAATAATAATTTTAAATGAAGATCTGCAATGAGAAATCCCATCACAAAGAGCATGGGAAGATGGCAAGAAGTCAACAATAACTGAGGAGCTGAGCAAGTGACAAGAGCTTGGGTTGGAATGGTAGAATATTTGGAATGGAAGGAACAGTGATTTGATTTGTTTGCTTTGGTGTGTGTGTGCGTTTGGCTTTTTTGGGGGTGGGGATGGCAGTGCTCCCTTTAAGTAGGTAGGGATTTTGTGGCTACTGTTCATATCCAACATGTGTGTGTATAATCTGTTTACTTGTATTTTGCTGTATTTAGCAGATTCTAGGTTTTACGTGATACTTTGCTTGGGAAGGGGCTGCATTTCATGCTTAAAGGTGCATGTTACCTTAGATCTTCTGAAAAATGTCCAGTCTTGTTTTCACTACTGCTTGAGTAAAAATATTTTTCATAGAAAATGTATTCCTCTGACTTCCTGAGTGGTGATGTAATAAGAACAGGAGAGACAAAGAGCTGTTGCCAAAAATCCTTTGATGACGTTTGAGGTAAATTAGTGACATGCCAATAGAAACAGTATTTAAGATAAAGGTTTTGAAATCTGTCATCTTATAGTGATTCAGAACTTTTGGTCATTAGATAGCACATTTACATTTATAGTAAAGGCCAAGGTAGGACTATGAAGCTAATCCTTAACAGCCAAAAAATGCAGTTTTGCTGCAGAAAGGTTGTCAGATATGTTACACTGCATAAATGAAATCTACACAGAGTAAAGGAAGTTGTAAAAGCCACAGAGTTCCCAGAGAGAACTGTCACAGAATCTTTCTGATGAAATTAATTGCTGATGTAGCGGTGCTGTTTCTGGCCTCTTCTAATCTAGCTGAACATAAGCTACTCCAACAGGCTTTTTATTGGTGATTGTTAGTGGAAACCATCTGGTAAAGGAGAATCTGTTTGTGCAAAGTACTACTTTATTTCTAATTAGTGGTCTCAAACAGATTTTTGTCTCATTTATAATATATGTGTATGTTATTTGTGGGTGTGAGGAGTAGATTTCTCTAAATCAAGTACATCAGCCGTCGTTCTGTCAGTCCCAGGGCATTACTGCTCTCCTCTGTATTGAATTAGACTTCTGCCTCAGTTTTACAGTTTGTAACACATTATGGTATCCTTGACATAAGCAGAGGCAGGGAAATAACCCTCAACATGAGTGTATAAAAATAAAAATCTTTTTTAGGTGATGAATACTATTAAAAACCCCTTATGCATCCAAAGCAAAGAATTCATATATGCAAAGGAGATGCTTTACATCATAGAAACCCAAGAGAAAATGAGGCTTTAAGAAATACTAGCTTTGGCACATAATCTGCAGCTGATGCTTCCAATATTGTATAATGATTACACCACGGACTTCCAATAGGAGATCTTGCCTGTAACTTTTTAAGGCTTTTGAGTGTGGGATAGAGCTAATGACAGACCCAGACATGGGCAGCTAACAGTTTAGGAAAAACAGTTGTGGCAGAGAAAGGACTAGAATGATGCTATATGAGGGTAAATGACACTTCCACTTGAGAAGAGAAAGAAAGCAACACCGACTACAACCAGTAACACATTAGTCTCTGAAATTCTTGTACATTACCCAGTCTTTGTGCTGGGAAAAAAAAACATCTTTAGAAAGAAGAACGATGAAGGTTCATTATATCAAGCTGCTTAATATATAATAAATATAGTGACTAAAATTCTTGTGTAAGATTTTCAGTTTTCCTATTCTGACTGAACAAGATTAGAGTGTTCTGCAGATGTATTAGAGAGCAAGAGTGCATGAAACTGGAAGAGAGTGCAAAGATCTAGGGGCCTGACACCGAATGTGTCTTCCACTTCGTAACTGAGATATCTGCCAATTTACACAGTGTTGATCTTGGTGGTACACGGAAAAGTTGTGCTGGTGTGGTACACTGAGGTCAGATAAGGAGGTGTGCTTTGGGTTGTTTGCTCTTTATTGAACATTAGCTAAAATCTTTTTAAGATGGCAGACTAAGTGCATAGAACTTGTTGAAGTGTTATACTTTGGTACACAGCAGGAAATATTCTCAAGTATAACCTATGTACTGTGTACATACTAATACTAACAGTGAATAGCGGTGCACCAAATATATCAATGTGCAGTTAATACATTTAATGGCAGTCAGCTGTCATTTATTGCATACAGACTTTAAAAAAAATGTTTGTAATGCACAGCATATGATGTCCTTGGGTAAGCATTCACGTTCTGGTTTTATGCCAGGTAAAGGACTTATCAGTTGAGCAAGTAAACAGTGACATTTATATCTGGGTGTCCTGGGTTCAGCTGTAACAGTTATTTTTCTTGCTAGTAGCTGGTACAGTGCTGTGTTTTAGTTTTAGTGAGAACAATGCTGATAACACACCAATGTTTTAGTTGTTGCTCCGATCAAGGACTTTTCAGTCTCCTGCTCTGTCAATGAAGAGCGGCACAAGAAACCAGGAGGCAGCAGAGATGAAACACCTGACCCAAACTAGCCAAAGAGGTATTCCATACCACAACACGTCATGCCCAGTATACAAACTGGGGAGAGTTACCTGGAAGGCCCAGGTCACTGCTCGGGTTGGGCTGGGTATCGGTCAGTGGGTGGTTAGCAATCGTATTGTGCACACTTGTGTTTATTGGAGTTTTTTTGGTGTTTGTTTTTTTTTTGTGTGTGTGTTTGTTTTTTTCCTTTTAAGTTTTATATTCTCTCTTCTTATTATTTCCCTTGTCATTATTATTGGTGGTAGTAGTAGTTTTATATTACTTTAATATAAACTTTAGTTATTGGATTGTTCTTACCTCAGGCCTTGGGGTTTACATTCTTTTGATTCTCTTCCCTATCCCACTTTGGATGGGGGTGGAGGGTTTAGCAAACAGCTGTGTGGTTCTGAGTTACTGGCTGGGCTTAAACCATGACACTGGGCTAACAGGTTTTTAAATAATGCATTATACCTAGAAGAATACCTTTTCATTCAATAGTTTGAGTGTTTTTCTGTGCAAAACAAGCTGCTCTTGTACTAGAGAAGAAAATAGATGGAGCTGGGCAACTGAGCAAATATGACCATATGGCAGCGTATCCTAATGTATCCTTCCAGATTCTGCTGTAGCAGCAATAGCAGTAAGACTCCCATGTTATAAAATAGCTTCTATATCCAGGCCTTTTTCTTAAGGATAGTTTAAGAAAACATAAACCTTGCAGTATTGATTTTATAGTCTAGTCAAAACTACCCAGATG